CTCAGTGGGTCGTATGGACACACAAGGCCTCAGTAGGTCACTTTGACCCACTGAGGCCTTGTGGGTCCATGTGACCCACAAGGCCTCAGTGGGTCCCTGTGACCCACCAGGCCTCAGTGGGTCAAAGTCACGCAAGGGTGGCAGAGGGGTTACGTGGTATCTGCAGAGCCCTGGCTTTGAGTTTCTGTAGAGTCCTGGTTTTCTGATAAATGGTCCAGCAGCTGGCCTCAGTCTCAGTCAGAAACCACTTCCTGAGACCTGCTGGACCGTTGGTGGGGGTGAACACAGCAGCGCAGCTGATGCTTCTTCACGTCTTCTCTGTTGTTAAAGTCAAATCTTCTGCTGTGAATGAAACGGGGCAGCTGTTCTCTGGAGGTTGACCCCTGCAGGTATGAAAGTCTGATAAGTTAGACGGTTAGATAACGCGTCTGTTGTTCTGGTCTGAGTCAGACGTGACGTTTGTCTGCTGCCTTATGGATTTCAGTTTCAGTGTTTCACCCGGCACGATTGTCAGCTGTCGCGTGTTTACACACTGAAACATGTGAGCTCCTGTAGCAGCTCGCTGTCATTCTCCATTAAAATTCCTGAGCTGAATGAAACCCTGTCCTGATGGGTCCGTCACGTACTCCGAGGAAATGGATTTCTGTGGTGTCGCTGGAGTAACGTGGAAAACGTTTATTGAAGGCAAACAATGAAACTGGAAACCACAGGAACCTGAGAGGCCCCACGACTCTCCTCATTCTGTTGACAATAAATCTAATTTATCCAAAGTTTTCTCCCACGGGGGTCAGACAATCAACTTCCTGCATCACCAAGATTAAAACACATCTGTGGAGGAAGGTCAGAGGTCAAGAGACGAGCGTCACGTTAGAGTTGAGTTACACCACAGGCGAGTTCAGCTCACAGCAAGAGGAGTCTGAATTAAAGTCAGGAAGGTTCACATTTAAACTGAGAAGTTTTCACCTCACAGCTAAAGTTTCATGTTTTTAACTACTTTCAGTAGACACCATCTTTAATTAGATCATAACAATAAACTTATTTTAGTTGATGATAACTACGCCTGTCGCAATGAACAATAAATCAATTAATCACAAACAATAAATCAATTAATCACATGATAAGTTAAAATGAGCGACCTCATTTTCATTTATCAGCGTTATCGTTTCTTCGTGTCTCTCTTTCTACTGAAGACTCTGGACGACAAAAGACTCAACTCCGGTTCTTCACTGACCCCTCCCTTTCTCTTTTCTCTTTAAAATCTGTTTTAACGTCCAAAAATCGTGTTTTTGGACGTTAAAAGCAGCTGAGCTACGAGCTAAGCTAACAGGCCGACTTCAGGAATAAACCTCGTCTTGTTGAAGCTCCAAAATTCACGGTTGAAACCCGTACCTTCGTCTAAAAAGTTTTTCTCTGCAAAAAGAAGCTGAGAACTTCCATCCATCCATTATCTTTACCCGCTTCTTCCATTTTGGGTCACGGGGGTCGCTGGTGCCCATGTCCAGCAATCACTGTGCGAGGGGCGGGGGACACCCTGGACAGGTCTCCAGTCCATCACAGGGACACATAGAGACAAACGAGACAAACAACCATTCTCTCTCATTCACACCTAGAGACAATTTAGAGTTACCAGTCAGTCTAACATGCATGTTTTTGGTCTGTGGGAGGAAACTGGAGCACCCGGA